ATTTCGTAACTGTTGCATAATTGTTACAAAATTATTACAGAACACTCACGTATTTTCGGCTGGTTGATAATTCGGCTGGTTTATATACCACCATTTTAAACATCTTGTTTTGGTAGCTTGTTGTTGTTATTTGTTTTTGTTGTTGTTCTTAGTCCCTAGGGAGGCGCGTCCGGCATGCCCAAACCGTGTCCTAGAATTTTTGCGACATATTTTTAAAAAATTCAATCCAATTTGTTTTCCAATTCCAGACCACTTCTTTAATTATTTTTAAATTCCAATTCCTGAGCTTGGAATTGGTCAATTCCAAGACCGAAATTCCATGGTAGTTAGCCAATTCCAATTCCTGATAAACTAAGTACTTGTAATCACTGGTTGCAATTTTGACCTCCAATTATACCCAAATCTATTTAGTTTGCTAAATACGAAGATGTATGCGGTTTTTATTTAAAAACTAAATCAAAAGTTTCAAAGGGTGGGTGTTCACAAGTACCAAAATGATAAATCAGTCCCATTTGTACCAAAATAAAAATCTATCGCATTAGTACCAAAAGTATGACTACTAAGCCGACTATTTTAAGCTCTTGTTTAAGGTCGCCGGTGGCGATAACCGGCTCTAATTTTCGTATAGATTCCTACCCTCTGTTGGCAAGCTCGCAACACGTTGGCGAGACTGCGGCAGTCACTAATCTGCTGTTTAGTTTTCTTCTGTTTGAACAGTAGAAAATTAATGTAATAATTTGTTGGCTCACAATTCGACCAATCAGAAAAAGAGTTGAATAATTTTGGTACAAATGGGACCGATTTTTCATTTGGGTACAAATGAACCTTGTGTCAAATGGGACTTCACCATCAGAAGTCCTGTGAAAAAGTTCTGTCTGCGTCTGCCACTTTTTCTGCCACATCATATTTAGTAGTGTAATTTGGTGAAGGGGGTCAGTTAGCGGGACAGCTCCTTCCTCTCATCAATCAGGGCCGGAGAGATATTTCTTCGGGGTTGTCATTTTTTTTTCATTTTTAGAACATAAAATTTTTGAGCAAATAATCACGCATTTTATATTCGGCGCCAACATTTTTGAGCGAAATTATGAAATTAAATTTTACATCTGGTTTCAAAACAAAGATAGTCGGCGACGAACCCTTTCTGAACAAACAGCCAAGATTGACTGAGCTAATTCATTTTGTACTGTTATTTTAGCTAAATTCCCGTTCTTCAGTTTGCAATAAAGCTATGTAAATTTTGGGTCCATTTAACTTCAAAATGTTACAACTGCTGTCGTGGTATTTAACCCATTTTAAGTTGGATATCAAATTCTTCCAATTTTCATTTTCTAATAGCTTTTCGATGCTGCATAAAATTAACGCCCTATCACGAGTAAGTTGAAATTCATATTCGGCTTGAAAAGTACAGGGGGAAATTTTGGGTCAAATGACAGATATTGAACCGATAATTGTGCTTGAAACATTCCAAAGCAGACTGATGATTGTTCTTGTTATTTATTGCTTCGACCAGTGCTTAAAATCCAAAAAATTTCATAACACTGGTCTGACTTTTTTGATATTCAAATCAACTTGATGACATTGAACTTGATGACAGTGAATTTGAGTCCGATTTATTTCTAATTCAATTCTTTCAATTTTTAAAGCAAAATTGAATCTGATTTTTGCTGTTACACTTAATTTAATTCAATGTCACTTCAAAAATTCAACGGGTACTCAAGAAAATTTTTTTAAAAAATATGTTTCATTTTTAATTTCAATTTTTATTATTTATCTTAGTGGTTGGAACATTGTGTGCTGCTTGCTTAGCCACCAACTATCTGTTTTTACACCTTAATCTAATCTCATTTCCAATACTACTGTAATTCATTTTCTGTTTTTTTCAATGATAGTAAATAAACCAACTAAAAACGCGCGGAGTATATCAGTCAGCAAAAATGAAAAAAAAAAATGCATAAATTTCGTAACTGTTGCATAATTGTTACAAAATTATTACAGAACACTCACGTATTTTCGGCTGGTTGATAATTCGGCTGGTTTATATACCACCATTTTAAACATCTTGTTTTGGTAGCTTGTTGTTGTTATTTGTTTTTGTTGTTGTTCTTAGTCCCTAGGGAGGCGCGTCCGGCATGCCCAAACCGTGTCCTAGAATTTTTGCGACATATTTTTAAAAAATTCAATCCAATTTGTTTTCCAATTCCAGACCACTTCTTTAATTATTTTTAAATTCCAATTCCTGAGCTTGGAATTGGTCAATTCCAAGACCGAAATTCCATGGTAGTTAGCCAATTCCAATTCCTGATAAACTAAGTACTTGTAATCACTGGTTGCAATTTTGACCTCCAATTATACCCAAATCTATTTAGTTTGCTAAATACGAAGATGTATGCGGTTTTTATTTAAAAACTAAATCAAAAGTTTCAAAAACTATAAATTCCCAATTCTTTAGTTGGGCACTATTAGGGTACTCTGAGGAGTTGCAAATCTTTTGACCAAATGCGACTGCTCAAATACTTTTAAATTCCGAGATGTGACCTTTTTTTTGCTTATTCAAAACTAAGATATAGCTAGGTGCTGCCAGGGTGGTCTCAGGGGTTGAAAACTTTTCTTCGGAATCTGATTGCTAAAACCGTTTTAATTTTTGATAAATAAAGTTTCTTCAACATTATAGAAAAAAAATCACAAAAAATTTTTACGAAATGTTTTATTCCCAACCCGCTAATGGGGTGATCTCAAGGTACTCTCTGAGGTTGCAATTATTTTTTTATTTTTGACTGCTCGAGTCAACTAGTTTTCCAATATTTGCCGTTACAGATTTTGAACTTCTCAAAACTGGTGCATTACGAGGCCAAACAAGGACGCTCCTTTTGTTCTTCTTTTGTTCTTTACTTTCCTTTGATCGTTCCGACAAAATTTTCACATGTTTAAAGACTTGTCTCTGGAATCCAGGAACATAAGGACACAAAATTGTGCTCCTATCCAGTGCACAGTTTGGCCTCGTAATGTGGGGTGCTGTCAAAATACTCTCAGGTATACCATATAGTAATATTTCCAAATTTGTGTGCTCCACACAGATTTCTAGAGGAATGACGTTTTTATGTTTTTGCAGTAAGTTTCAAAATGTTGAATTTTGAAAAAAAAACTACTTTTCAAAATTTAAAGTTGTCGACGCATTGGTAGAGTGAAGTCAGATTTCTGTCAGCAGTTGCAGAGGTGGCCTCCATCCTGCTATTTTTGCTCAATTTTTTAATTGTTGGAAATTGTGTTTATGATATTTGATTTTTTTCCATTAAGTGAAAAATTAACCTATCAAAAGTCTGATGTTCTTAAATAGTTACTCTGGTTTAATCTGTTGATGGTAAATAATGATATGCGTACGGGCTAATGAAAGGAACAAACAAATTAAACAAGAGTTTCAATCATGAATTCAGTGATTTTGCCAATAAAATCGTTATTATGGAAGGTGCAGTTGTATGCTGTCGGCCATTTTAAGGTGTTTTTTTTCTAGTTGAAAAAAAACAGTAGTTCAGAGACTTGACTATTTTATTTTAAAAAGGAACTTTACTCAATTTAATTTGAAAGTTGAATTTTTTTTCAGTGTTTGATTTCGAAAGCGTTGTTAGATGCCCCCGTTTTTTATTACAGGTGCATGTCTATTTTTTTTTCATATAGTTATGTATAAGCAGTTTTCACGTTCAATAATCAGTTTGAAACACCTGACGTGCGTTACACGCTGGTTGTTTTGATTGTAATACCTCAACTTGCTTTCTCTCAAAATTCCATAGGGTTTAATCGCCTTGTCGGCTTAGTTGACACTTCAAGACATGCTCTAAATAATTCATACGTGCTATAAGCATTTTTTAATATAGTCACAAATTTTTTCTGATTTACTGCTATAAATTGTAAATTAGCAGTTTTGACGGGTGATCTTTTTTTGGCCTAAAAGGTTTGGCCTCAAATAAATTTGGTACTCGTTTAGACGTATGGTCCTATATAAAACCTCATTAGACGATTGGTCCCGGCAAAACTACCAATGGTCCTTTATAATTCAGACAGTAAAATTGCTTAAAGTAGATTCTAAGTTTTTCCAGTGAATTGATAATTTTTATTGTTTTTAAAGAAAAGTTTCGAGCAAAACTAGTGAAGAAGAGCTAACAAGTTTTTGTTTTGTATTCATCCACTTGAAGTGTTTTGGAGTAAGAATCAAGTGGTCTAGCGTGACTACACTTTTAAACGAGCTTTTGAACAGGACTCATGAAAAACGGCGGGATCATATTTCCTACTGGAATTTTTCTGAACGAGAACCATGCATTTTATTTTTATTCCAAGAAAATAACTTTGTTTCAAGAAATTGTTTCCAACAAAAACTCGTTAGAAATTTAAGAATAAAAAATAGTTCCCAATTTGTTACAAGAAAACTCAGCTTCTGATTTAAAATTGATTTTATAATTCTATAGGCCCAGCAGGTGTATAAGGCGCAAACTATCTTTTTTTGACCTCAAAAGTTTCGGCTGATAATTTATCGACCAAGTGACTTAATTTTGCGTCATGTGAAGGTAAACATAATTTTTTACGCCCCTTCCCCCCTCTAGAAACAAAAGAAACAACTTCAGAGCTCAAAAGTTTTCTTGACACGAATTTAGTTTCCCACTCGATCGTGATTTACCCAAGTTGTATCGCCCTAGCTGCGACTTGATAAATGTATGTCAACCCCGTTCCACATCAGCGATTGTTTTGCTGGATGTGTTTTCCTCAAATTTAACATCATAGGAAATAAAATACTGGAAATTTTGTAATTGTGGTTTTCTCGATTTCTTATAGTTTTTTTGACTGGCCTTTGTTTAATTTTTGATCTGTTATCTTTCAATGCAATGTTTGTGTTGTATCATAAGTGGTGCGCAACCTCTGCGCGAAAGTGGAGTTATTGATTACAGTCAAATTAAAGTTTTTCATCGACTGATATGACTTGACGATATGATATGAATTCTTCTTTTTTTTAGAGATTTCGAAGATGGAGACAACGTTCATCGGTTTACAAACTTCTTCTCATCTCAGTCCTGGGAGCATTGCTTGTTTTCAGTCCGAAAACTCACAAACTTTTTATGAATTTGAAAGACAGTTTGTTGCTGCGAGCGCCGTTGAATATCGTAGATTTAAGTTCAGAAGGATCCAATGTGAAAGCAAAACACAGGAGTGCAATCATCAGAATTTTTGGAAACAGTCTCTATCCATTACAACAAAGAGATCAAGGATCCAAAAACTTGCAGTTTATTTTGGAACATGAAACTATGCGAAGCTCCAGTGAATACTTATGGGTCATTAATAGAATTGTGAATCGAACTGAATCAAGAGTGATTTCTAATCTTCTTCGAGATCGGAATAGGCTTCATATTGAGTTCAATCTGCAAACACTCAAGGTGCTAATAGAAAACGACCCGAAACTTGCGGTAAAATATGCAACAGACATAAACAATGCCAGAAACGAAGCCCTAAGACATGCTGCGCACAATCTGGACGTTGACTGGCTTGTTTTATTGGATGGAAATGCTTTTCTTACAAATGAGGCTTACGACTTGCTGCATGAGTGTCTAGAAAACGCTGAATTGAACCAACAGTACCTTTATTTCATACCGATGTACAGACTGTCATCTAATCAAGATTGGCTGACTCCTTTCACAGAAGTTGATGACATAACAAGTAGACTTTCTGGTCTGCAGGAGCCGTATCTCGCCATTCATAGATTGGCTCTTAACAAGTTCCAGGACCAGGGAGTTCAGATCTTCAGTAGTGAGGTTGAGTACGGGAAAAGAAGCAAAATAGCGTCTTTGGAAGTATTCAACAAGTTTTACTATAATTATGTGGGCTGCTTGGATGCTTACCATGAAAGTAGTGTCCGGAAAATTACTAGCCCAGGAGAAGGGTTATTTTTAGCCAATAGATGCTCTTACGCAATCCGACTTTTGTACTGGCCCAGCGGGTTCAGCGATTCGGCACGCTCTGATTACAGTTTCCTCACCAATTTGTTGGCTTACAAAGGCTATATCTTTGATGGAAATTCGGTTCCCGAAGAGAATAACCTTGTTAGAACATACCTTAGACACGACTCGATAAGAGAGCTTGAACGAAATATAGCAGAATTAGTTAAAACTATACGCAATTAAAACATTATGATTTCTAATATCCTTGACAAGCTCCATTCGTGAGCAGATATAATATGATTTCTAATATCCTGACAAGCTCCATTCGTGAGCAGATATAACTTTGCAGATTTAATTTGCTGTTTTACTGAAACGTTTTAAAATAGTCAGACGTAATGAAAATAACATGCAGGAAAATTGAAAATAAGCACTTTTGATTTTTGGCGTGTTGTTAAATTTGCACATTTCAAAATTAAATGCTGATGATGAGTTTTACTTGAAAATGTTTCATGCAATAAATGAGGGGCGGATCTAGGATTTTCTCGAGGGGGGGGGGGGCTTGTTTTCAAAAATTTTTGAAATTTTTGTCGACCTTTTTTTAGGTCCAGCAGATTGATTTTCTGAGTTCTCCTAAATCACTACAATAAGCGCATTTTTAACAAATTTTCTGAGCCGCAGGCAAAATTCTGAAAAAAAACGGGCCAAAAAAAGCGTTTTTAGGCAGTTTTTGGAAAATTTTGGACCAAAAAATTAGGTTTTGCGGCGCGTGCTCTCCCCTCAAAATTAGTATACACTGGCGAGGAAGGCACTTCAGAAAAATTTTAGGGTCCCTTACCAAAAATGGATATCTCAAAATAGTACATAGGGGGACCCTTTGGGTCGGCAGGGGGTCGAATTCCTGAGGAGTAAATCCGCTGGTGCTATAAACATTGATTCCTATTCTGTTTTCCGGAGTCGGAGCCACAAACGGAATGGGTCCAAGAGCAGAAAAACAAAAAAATATTAAATTTTATTAGCTAATCGGTAAAAAGAAGTATTAGAATTTTCAATATTACCCAAGAAACGAATAGATTATGCATAAATTGAGTAACTTGAGCAAATTATATTTTTTTAAAACTCATTAAAAAACCTGACGAAATTACTCATTTAGTGTATAATTTATTCTTTTCCTTGGTAGGATTGACTATTCCAATAAATTTTTTTTATCGATAAGCCCGTCTAAACCAATATATGTCTGTTTTTCCGCTCTTAGACCATTCTGCTCATAGACTGTTTTCCTATTGAATATAAGCCGCGTGTATGCGGGTTGATACGAAGTTAGTGGATATGCAGTGAGTAGCGTTGGTGGCGTTGAACAGTGCCGAAGTACAACAGTACCGAAAATGAAAAAGTGTTCAACTATAAATTTTTTTGGCACTCTTGTACTTCGGCACTGTTGCACGCCACTCTAAGGGCAGCACGACAGCGCCGAAGTACAACAGTGCCAAAAAAAAACTTTATTTTTCAACAGTGCCGAAAATCATCATTTTTCGGCACTTTTGATCACTTTCATTTTCGACTCTGTTGTACTTCGGCACTGTTGTACTGCTCCGTAGCGTTGCAATGGGTTACCTAGAAGTATTTAGACAACCACGTATTCATACTCGTCAGTGAGCAGACAAATACTGTATTAACCAATCAGAATTGAGACAAGGAAGAAATGAATAATTAAAATTTTTTTATTTCTTAAGTTTGCTTTCTCATCTCGATTCTGATTGGTTAATATGGCATTTAACTGCTTACTGAGAATATATCAAAAGACTGTTAGTGTCAGTTGTTCCATAAAAAAAAACGATTTTACATAAAAGTCGATTTTACATTACACATGCGCTTCTAATAATGCGGTACAAAAAATACAGTTTTAATAATACGGTACTGATAAAACGAAAGCACTCTCCTGGATGTACCATTGCTATCGTGTTCTAGCGCATAGAAACTGATCTTTTTGCTTGTAGTGTAACGAAGACAATGTTGAACGTTATGTTGACGCCTTGTTCACCCTGGTAAGCCCAGGATTCGGACCTACCACTTGAGAGGCGTCGTCGTTTAGATCCCGCCGCTGACCCCAAGCCTCAATAAAAAATTGGCAAATAGCAGGCGTTAATTTTCCGTACTCGGAAATAATTAAACCGCCACAACTTTAAAATTGTCGCAAGCGAAATACCTTTTTATACTTGTGAAAGCTAGTGTCTTGAAATTGGGAGCTAGACTGTTTTTCCCGTGAACAACTATTCTTAAAAAAATGTCAACTTGCTACAATTTTGAATCTTTACGCTTGCGAGTAGCAAGCGTTATCAAATCGGAATGTAGACTATTTTTTGCGGGTTAACTACTAGTTTAGCAAAATCAGTTGAATCACCTGCAGCTGACATACATTTGAATCACAGCTGACATACAGTTGAATCAGATGCAGTTGGGTAATAGTTAAAACAAGTTAGTTTCAGGGGGGCTTGAAAATTCTGCTCAAACTTCTGTTTTTTTTTTCGGCTCAACTGATGTCTGCTCAAAAATTGTCGGCCTTGTTTCCGCTGCGTAAAATTTGTTCAAATGCCAATGTGATATTCAAATTTTTTGCATGGTTTGTTTGATATTATGAAATTGTATGGGATCGGGTTTTTTATTTTTTAAAATTTTTTGGGACGCTTTGCCAATATTTTTGCATTTCTGAAAAATTTTCTTTTTCTCAAAAACTGTTCTACCAATTTTCAAAAAATTTATATCAATGGAAAATCCGTCTATTCACCTGCGTGCCTGCTTAATTTCTTAGTCTATTTTTACCTTACCCCTTTTTCTACAGCCTTCGATTTTTTTTGTTCATTTTCTCGAAAACTACCCTCACAACTCTGGGATTTTGATTTCAATCAAAAAGACGGGTTATGGGACGCTCCTCTACCTTAGCGCATATGCTCAAAATTTGTTACATTAAAAATTATGGCCCTCAGAAAAGTCAAGTTTTCCATTTTTGGTGTTTTGTTGGACTTTCGCGAAAACCGCCATCCCAAATCTGTTTCTGATTTTATTCAAAAGGACGGGCGGTTTACGAGAAGCTCCCATGCATAAGTGGCTACGCCCAAACTTTTTCACATGACCCTCGGAAAAGTCAAAATTGTGACTTTTTGAACATTTTTTCAAACGTTTTGACTCGTCTCAAAATTTACCCTCCCAAATCTGAATTTATGACTTCAATGAATAGAACTTGTTGTGGGAAGCGCCGCTGCATAAACTTCTACGCCCCAATTTATTTTAAACAAAAAGTTTGAACCCAAGAAAAAAAGAAAGTTGTAATTTTATAACCTTTTTTGAAACTTGATTTTTCTCGAAAAATACTATCCCAAAAGCTAAATTTAGGGTTCAATCGAAAAACATGGTCAAGAAAAAATTCACTGTATAAGCGGCCACGCTGAAAACTTCCGATAAAAAGTAGAGCCTTCAGAAAAGTTAATGGTTTGATTTCGTATCTGTTTTTTAGAAACTTTTTGACTTTATTCGAAAACTACCCAGCCGAGTCTGATCTCTACAAGTTTAATCGAGACAAAAGTGTGTATGAAGCTTCTGTGCATAAACGGCTACGTCTTAAAAGTAGAATTAAAAATTTTAGGTCTTGAGGAAATTTTCAAATTCTCAAAAGGTCTAAACAGAAACAACTAAAGTTTTGGGCGGAGCCCGTTTTTCGAAATTATGCGTTTCATCCCGCATCAGTACAACACAATCAAAAATTATCAGTCAGGTACCTCCAGTTTCAGCAGAGTTCTGAGTACTGTTTGATAAAAACAGGTATTTTGAAAATGTAGGGGATTGGGTTTTTTATTTTATCAATTTTTGCAAAAAGTTTAGCTTTTTTTCTCATAAAACTTTCTACCAATTTTCAAAAACGGGTATCCATAGAAAGACCGCCTTCATTTGGTTTTACCCAAATTGTTTCAAACAAAAATATTTTTGCCTTCGGAAAAGACAAACTTTGACTTTTTGACCGATTTTTGAAATTTTGACTTTTCTCGAGAACTACCCTCCTAAATCCCCAAGAGATTTTGGGGATCAATTGGCTGAGTAAATCTTTTCTGTTCAAGCGGCTACGTCCTATTTTTTACGCTTAAAGCTATGATTCTCGGAAATGTCATGTTTTTGATTAATTGACCGGTTTTGGGACTTTTCTCGCTAACTATCCTGCTAAGTCTGATCTCATAGGTTTAATCAAAACAACAGGTTGTTGAAAGCCAACGTATTTTTATTGCTGGCTATGCCCAGTTTGTTTAAGAAAAAGTTATGGTTTCAAACAGTTGCTAGTTTTGAAACTTTGACGGCTTCTTGGAAGTTTTCGACATTACTCAATTGTTACCGTGCCAATTCTCATGTTGAGTGTTTAATCGAGAAACTCAATTTTGAACATTTTCTTTAGTTTAGCGGGCACGATCTGCCTTTTGCAGAAAAATTATGCATTTCAGAAAACCATGTCTGAAATTTTGACCGTTTTTTAGGAGAAACAACTAAGATTTTGGGCGAAGTCCAATTTTTGAAATTACGGTTTCATCCCGCATCAGCGCATCAGTATTTCAAGTTCACAAAAATCAAACACTTGCCTCCTATTGGGTTCTAAATGCTCTTCATCGAGACATTCAAATTTTTTGGTTCCCTAGTTTTGTTCAAGAATTCACATTTCTTTCTACTTGTTGTTTACCCTTGCGATAACAAGGGTGTTGCAATCGGGTACTAGACTTTTTTTCCGTAAAAATTTTTTTCCACATGACTCATTGCACTCCTGATGGTACCTTGGTTCATAAAGAAATCAAGTTTTTTAATGTTTTTTGCATACCTAGCCTGTTGGTAACGAATGCGCCTGGGAAGGCAAAGGGCCGGGCTGGAATATGATGAGGAACGGTTTTTTTTTAAACAATAAATGTTCCTTTTTCAAAAAAAAAGTTCGGCCTATTCTTTGTCTGCTTGTGTACTGTCGGCTTAACTGCCACATCTAAGAATCGTTTATTTTAGCTATTATAAACTTTCACTGCAGTTGTTTTTAGCATTTTAAAAATCTGCCCGGGTCGAAATTTGCTTTTCACATTGATTGTAGTTTTACCAGCTCGATTTGTTGAAATTTCACTGTTTTTCTTTTTTTTCTTCTTTTTTATCGGCTTAATAAATTTCAAGCTAATTAGTTTTCACTAAGTGGCCTCTTATTGCGTCGTTACGTCCAAAAAAGTTTGCTGTGCGCCTGTGTGTGCTCTGAGGGGAAAATGGACATAACATTTTTTTAATGTTTAGAATTGATTTTGAATTCCTTTTCGGCTGGAAGGTTTTCTGCTCAGGTTTTTTTTGGCCTTGTTATTGCTTGGTACTTATAATTTCATATTCACTCAATGATTCGGCGCAACTGGCGCAGAATTAAAACAACAGCTTGAGATGGCAA